AAAACCACATGATCATATCAATAGATGCTGAAAAAGCATTAGACAAAATCCAGCATCCATTTCTGATAAAAACGCTCAGCAATGTGAGAATAGAGGCATCATATCTCAACATAATAAAGGCCATATATGAAAGACCTACAGCCAACATCATACTCAATGGGAAAAAATCTAAAAACATTTCCCTTAAGAATAGGAACAAGACAAAGATGCCCACTTTCACCACCCTTATTTAACATAGTACTGGAAGTCTTAGCCACAGCAATCAGACAGGACAAAAAAATAAAAGGGATCCAAATTGGAAAGGAAGATATGAAACTGTCATCATTTGCAGATGACATGATACTATACGTAGAAAAACCCAAAGATTCCATCAAAAATTCAGTAGACTTAATAAATGAATATGGCATAGTAGCAGGATACAAAATTAATGTCAAGAAATTGATGGCATATTTATATACCAATGATGAACTCACAGAAAGAGAAACTAAAAAAAACAATCCCATTGACCATCACGGCAAAAAGATTAAGATACCTAGGAATAAACTTAACCAAGGAAATAAAGGACCTATTCGCAGAAAATTACAGGTCATTGAAAAAAGAAATAGAGAAAGATATAAAAAAGTGGAAGCACATACCTTGTTCATGGATTGGAAGAATTAACTTCATTAAAATGTCCATACTACCCAAAGCAATCTATAGATTAAATACAATACTCATCAAAATTCCAATGACATACTTCACAGAACTAGAACAAATACTTCAAAAGTTCATATGGAACCAAAAAAGACCTCGAATAGCCACAGCAATCTTGAAAAAGAACAAAGTTGGAGGGATCACATTACCAGATTTCAGGTTACACTACAAAGCCACTATAATCAAAACAGCCTGGTACTGGCACAAGAACAGACATATAGACCAGTGGAACAGAACAGAGAGCCCAGAAATGGACCCAAGGCAATATGCTCAATTAATATTTGACAAAGGTGGCAAAAGCATACAGTGGAGTAAAGACAGCCTCTTTAATAAATGGTGTTGGGAAAATTGGACAGCTAAATGCAGAAAAATGAAACTAGACCATCAATTTACACTATAAGCACACACACAAAAAAACACTCAAAGTGGATGAAAGACTTAAATGTGACCCGTGAATCCATAAAAATTCTAGAAAAAAATGTAGGCAACAAAATTTCAGACATCATACGCAGCAAAATTTTCACTGATACTTAGTTCACCTAAGGCAACTGAAACAAAGGAGAAAATGAACACGGGACTATATCAAACTAAAAAGCTTCTGCACAGCAAAAGATACAATCATCAAAATGCAAAGGCAACCCACTGTATGGGAAAGCATAACTGCCAATGATATATTAGATAAGGGGTTAATTTCCAATATATATAGAGTGTTCATACAGCTCAAGAAAAGGAAGACAAATAATTCAATTAAAATAGGCAGAGGAACTAAATAGACATCTCTCCAAACAGAACATACAAATGGCTAAGAGATATATGAAGAAATGTTCAACATCATTAATCATCAGAGAGATGAAAATTAAAACAACAATGAGGTATCACCTCACACCTGTAAGAATGGCCGCCATCAACAAATCATCAAACATCGAGTGTTGGCGAGGGTGTGGAGAATAGGGGACTCTAGTATACTCCTGGTGGGAATGCAGACTGATGCATCCACTGTGGAAAACACTATGGTGTTACCTCAAGAAATTAAAAATTTAACTGCCATTTGACCAAGTGATCCTACTTCTAAGAATATACCCTAAGAAACCTGAAACACCAATCAGAAAGAATATATGTACCCCCATGTTCATAGCAACACTATTTACAATAGCTAAGATCTGGAAACAACCCAAGTGTCCATCAGTAGATGAATGGATAAAAAAAAATGTGGTACATGTACATATGGAATATTATGCAGCTGTAAGAAAGAGAGATCTCTTATCCTTTGAGATGGCAATGAAGGACCTGGAGAGTATTATGCTAAGCAGAAGAAGCCAAGCAGAGAAAGACAAATATTACACGATCTCACTTATATGTGGAATATAATGAACTAAACAAACTGCTGAAGAAAATTAACCCTGAGACATAGAGGTGGGGTATAGACTGACAAGCCTCAGAGAAGGGGTGTTGAGGTCGGTGGGAGATAAACCACAGTACTTCCATGCATGTATGCATGACAAATGAACACAGACAACAAACCTGGGGATGGGGAGGCGGGGAAGGGGAGGAGCGTGTCAATGAGGAAAAAATGAGAAACATCTGTAACAAAAACAAATTAATAAATAAAAAAATAAATAAATTTAACCATAATGACATATCATTTAATACCCAATAGAAGGTTCATAATTAATGATAGGCAATAAAACATGTTGGCAAAGATGTGGAGAAATGGGAATTATCATACATTACTGGTGTAAAATGGTGCAGCCACTTTAGAAAATATTTACTCAAGGGAAATGAAAACACCTGCTTGCACAAAGGCTTGCAGATACAATTTCTAAAGCAACATTATTCATAATAGTAAAAAACTGGAATCAACTAAAATGATGATCAGATAGGCAAAATGCGATCTTCACATAATGGAATACAGTTCATCAATGACAAAAGAATGAATTCATGAACCATGCTACATCATAGATGAACCTCAAAAACCTTGTGCTAAGTGAAATAATCCAGACATAAGAGATCATGTTTGTATGATTTTACTTACATTTAATATCCAAAAGGCAAATTTATAGCATCAGAAAGTAGATTAGTGGTTTCCTGGGACTGGAGGTAGAATGGGGTTTAACTGTAAGTTGGCATGAGGGATCTAATTGAGGGGATGAAAATATTCTAAAACTGACTTATGGTGATGGTTGCACCACTCATTAAAATTGCTAAATGTCATTGATTTGTAAATTTGAAATGGATAAATTCTATGATATGTAAAATATATCTCAATAAAGCTGTTAAAAATGTGGGGGAAAAAAAAAAAAAAATGTTCAGCAAAGCCATTAGGGAGTCCTCAAGCCAACGCCAGTCATCAGAGGAGTCTCATGACTCTCAGAAATGGAGTCACATTAGTATCCTTTTCTCCGGCATAAGCTAAGAGCGGCCTGGGGGGCAAACATAGCTTCCAGGCAAACTCAGGGATAAATTTCAGAACAGTCACTTGGGCCCTTGGTAAGAGGTCTCTGAAGCATATTTTCATGGCTTCCATTGAGGGGTTTTATTTTTTACTTTTTAAAAGTTTAATGTATATTTTAGCTGGTAAGATTGAGCCAGTGGGGAGAGCGAGGTTAAAGATCCCCAGGAGAAGAGTAGGATTATTGATGCAGCAAATCCAGGTTAAGGCCTAGGAGGATGGGATTCAGAGAACAGGTAAAAAAGTGTTGCTGTTAGGTGGGATGTGAGACACCCAGAAATAAGAAGGTGAATGCAGGATCATTTATAAGTTTGGGAGTTCCCATGTGATGGGTTTCATTTACTCTTTAAATTACAAGGTGAGGTAATCTCCTGAGAATGGGGGTATGAAAATAGGGATGAATCAAAGCTCAAGAAAAATGTCAGATAATTACTGTGGGGAATTAGAAAGTGACCTATCTCATGGTCATGGCCGGGCAGTGTTAATGGCCCATTTGATTCTGGCAGTCATGGTTTCACATTGGCATTTTTCCACTCTTGTCCTTCTAGTTTTTTTATTGTTACCCCCACTCAGTGTGCTCATTGACATGTTAACCTGTTAGAGATCTACCTCCATGAATAGTGCCAACACCATTTCAATAATAACTTCTTCCTCACATCTGTGACATCTCATGAGCCTCCAGATCCTGCCAATGTATTTCCTAGATATTGCCTAGATCATTGTTTCTTCACAGTCTTTCTTCTCACTGCTCCAGCTGTAGGACTCATCATCTATGCCTTCTAATTAGTTCCCTGCCTCTCATCCTTTCTTCAAATCCATCCTCTACATAGACATCAGTGAACAGTCTAAAACACAAAATATGATTATGATTCTTATAAGCTTTTAATATACTCACATAACCAATAAGATTTAAACAAGACATTTGAGAGCCTCCATGATATAGTCTTTGACTACCTACTCAGCCTCACTTTGTACACTATTTTCTTCCTCACTTTAACATTTGTTAAAGGTCTGCATAGTCCATGTTGTTTTTCAGTTCTGTGTTTCTTGCTTTCTCTCTGTCTCAAAAACTCTCCCCCATTCTCCCTTCATAAAGCTAACTCCCATTTACCTTTTATGACAGCTTAGTCATCACCTCATTTTTTGTGGCCTTATTTTTCCACTATTATCATCACACTTCTCCCTAGACTTGGTTAATTGTTTTTGAAATGTCCTAATTTTTTGCATACATTTTTATCATTGTATTAATTACATTGGACAATAATAAGTGATTTTTGTCTCTGTCTCTTTTAAAAGTCTGTGCTCCAGGAACTATCTCAAATTCATCTTTGTACTTTAGTAACTAACCAGTGCTTGGCAGATAGTTGTTGTGAAATAAATACCTTTTAACAAAAGGAAGAATAAAGAAAGAAAAGAAGAAATAAGGGAAGAAAGGAAAGAAGGGAAGGAGGGATCCATATCTTAGGATCATTTCACTGCAGCACTGTTTACAGAAATAATTTAGCAATTATTAGTTTATATTAAGGAATTAACATAATCAAATTACACATTTCAAATAAAATTTTTATATGCTTTCTTGCAATTCCTTAGATTTATTCAGTAGCTCAAAAGTATTAAATTTTCTCTATCAGCAATTTTCAACTGATCTTCTGTTCATTTCACTGAAAACTTTATAAAGATACATGTCATAAATTAGGAACCAAGTGTTATGCTGAATTTTGGAGACAACAGTATTTACTTTGCCTGCTGAATTAATGAAGTTGGATATTGGAAATGAAAGTTTTGCTCTGTGGTAATGGTGGGAGGGGAAAGAAAAGCTAACTATATAAAAGAGATACAAATTGAAGGCAGAAAACTTTTAATAGTTGGGTCTCAACTGCACACGTTCTATCCTATAAGGGATTTCTTGCTCTTCAGAACTTGTATATCCAAGTTGTTGTCTCTCTCTTTGAATGTAGTTTGATGGTGGAGCTCCATGTGTGGAAAAATTCTGCAAGAAGTTAAAAATATTAAATGCAATTAAATGACATTTAATAAAATTTTATTATTAAATTTATTGTGGTGACATTGGTTAATAAAAGTTCTGTTCCTGTTTAGATATGCTTATATATTAGAAAAATGATCATATAATATGAGTCATTTTACAAGTCTGTTTAATCACAATTATAAAGTTTAATGATTTAAAATAACACAAAATATTTTCTTTGAACAAATGAATTGTTGGCTGCTTTTTAATAACCATTAAATACTGTATTTGTAATATAATTTCTCCAGACAAGTTTAGACATTGTGCAATCCAGAATATTATACTAAAGTAAGAAGCAAACATTACAGGAGCAAATTTATATGAGAAAAACACATAAAAACAAGATCACAGAGTATTTGTCTTTCTGACTTATTTCATTTAGCATAATGCCTTCCAGGTCCATCCATGTTGTCACAAATAGTAGGATTTCTTTTTTTATGGGTGAATGATAGATATTCCATTGTATATTTATACCATGACTTCTTTATCCACTTATCCATTGAGGGACACTTTAGTTGTATCCACTCCTTGGTTAACAGACAATTATACTTCTTCCTTTCCAATTCTAATTACTTTTATTTCCTTTTATTACCTGATTGCTCTTCTTGGTAAGATTTGCAGTATTATCTTGAATTGGAGTGATGGAAGTGTACACACTTACTTTGTTTCTGATTTTAGAGGAAACATTTTCAAACTTTTACTATTGAGTGAGGTGTAAACTGTAGGCTTTTTTGTGGAGATATGCTTCTTCTATGCCTAATTTGATACGTTTTTATTGTGGATGGATGTTGTATTATGTCAAATGCTTTTTCAGGATCTATTGAGGTTATATAATTCATGTTTTTCATTCTATTAATGCTATGTATCACATTGATTGATTTGTCTGGGTTGAACCATCCTTGCATCCTAGGGCTAAATCCCACTCAGTCATGAAAAATGATCTTTTTAAAAAAAATTTTAATAATGTTTTTAATTAAGCCAATATATAAAATAGTATTATTTCAACATAACATTAATATAAAATTATAATGAGATATTTTACATTTTTTTCTTTTTAAAAAAATTTTTAAATTAATTTATTTTTGTTACAGATGTTTCTCCTTCTTTTCCCCATTGACACCCTCCTCCCACCCCCCCCACCCCCACATCTTGCTCGGCTTTGTTGTCCATGTTATCAGTTATGCATACATGCATATAAGTTCTGTGGTTTATCTCTCCCCTCCCCCCACGACCCCCTCTTCTGAGGGTTGTCAGTCTGTACCCTACTTCCACGTCTCTGGGTCCATCCAATTCCCCAGACTGTTATGTTCATTATATTCCACAAATATGATCTTTTTAATGTGCTGCTGAATTCAGTTTGCTACTATTATACTGAGAATTTTTAAACCTATCTTCATCATGGATATTGGTCTATAAAAGTGGTTCTCCATGACATTGTTGAAAAAGATGGCAGCAAGCAGGACCAGAGGGAGGGTGAGTGTGAGTGAGCAAGTGTGTGAGAGAGTGTGACTGGACGTGAAGGTAGATGACCAAACCTGAGCAGTGCAGATCCGTGGAGCAGAAGGTTCCTGTGCTGTGGACGGGACCAGCCTGCTACCATGGTAAGGGGCCCTTCAGGATGCTTCTTCCTGTGCCCAGGGGAGGTCCCACCATTTATGAAGATCCCAGGTCTACCCTGGGGGGAGGTAGTGGGAGCAGCTAAGGCCCAGCAACCTGAGACCAACAGCGCACCTGGCAACATCATACCAGTGGACACTGTGTCAACACAGACCAGTGCACAGTAGTGGAGCTCACAAGGTGCCTGGTCGCTGAAGCCACAGACAGTCCTGAGCCCAGCACCATCCCCCATAGAAGCAGCCCAATCAGAGTCTAGATATACCCCCAGCAACAGAGGCTGGGGAGCAGAATCCATCCCCAGGCAACAGAAGCACAGACCAGCACCTGAGACCCATCCCCAAAAACTACAACAAAAGCTGAGCAGGAGTTGAGACCCATGGGGCAGCAGCACACCCCAGCCACCAGCAGCAAGACCCGGGCCTCCACAGAAGCCTGTGTGGTCCAGTAGCTCACAAGCGCAGTGGGAAGTCAGAGCCCAAGAGAGACTGGTGCCATCCAGCTGCCTGCCCCCAGGACCTGCAGGGTGCAGGGGCACCAGAGAGGCCTGTGCGACCCACCAGGGACAGTGCAATCTAGTTACCCGTGGGACCTGCGGGGTTCCGAAACACCAGAGAGGCCTGTGCGACCCAGCAGCCCATAACATAGGCATAGAGCCTGGTTCCCAAAGGTGCTGTGCAATCCAGTTACCCACAGGACCTGTAGGGTACTGGGGAACTAGAAAAGCCTGTGTGACTCAGCTGCACACAAGATAGGCATAGAGGATGTGAAAAATGGAGGAGGAGTAAATAGAAGTTACGCAGACAATCTCCCAGGATCAAACAAGAATTACAACTAAAATAAAGACAAATCATCAGAAAAAAGCAGCAGAAAAGCAGCAGGACAGGACCGTATAAACGGACACTGGTAGGATCTGCGGAGGCGCGAGGGGGTAGCAGGCTGGGAGTCCATGGACAGCAGCAGTCTTAACAGTGAGCATCACTGTTGGGGAATAAAGATCAAGCCCTGCCCCCAGTGCAGAGAGCCAGGACAAAGTACTAAAATAGCCACACAGCCACACACCTGGGGGCTATGGCAGAGGGAGGGCAGACTGGACTGGAACTCTGTGGGGACACCCCAGATTTGGAGGGCACTCAGAGTTTTCACTGAGTTGTTGCCACAAAAGATGGTGGCCAGTGAACTCCTTTCTAGAGCTGTGGAGAAAAGTAGCAGCACCCCCCCACACACTTTGAAGATTCAGTCTTTCCCAGATGAGGCAAAGAAATGAAAATTGAGCCTCATTAATAACCAGCATGTATCCTACCCTCTGGAAATTCTCTTATGCAGAACACCAGGGCTACATTCCAAGGCACTGAGTAACTGAGATTACTAGCCACCAGGAAAAAGCTATAGGATAACTGAGCCTTTCCTGGGCTTTCAAATCTACCCAGGAAAATAAGACTTGACAGTGGTGTTTAACGTGGGCCCACCCAGGCTCATCCGAACCCAGTAGAGGGAGCCACAAACGGCAGAACACCAACACCCACAGGGAAAATTTGGCAGTCTCCAAAACCCACAGAGATAGCCAAAATGGTGAAACAAATCCCAAATGAAACAATAAGAGAACTCTATCGAAGATGAGATCAATGAAATGCAGCTAAGCAAATATCAGAGGTAGAGTTCAGAGTCATGATCTTGAGGAAGCTCAACAGCATGAGTAATGGACATCAGCACCATGAGTAAAGATATAAAAACATTGAAAACCAACTAAGTGGAAATGAAGAATGACATAGCAGATATTAAAAATATATGGGAAGGATTAAACAGCAGAGTAGAGGAAGCGGACGACCAGATCAGTGAATTAGAAGACAGGGTAGAAAAAATCAACCAATTAGAAAACCAAAAGGAAAAAACAATGAAAAAAACAGGAACACAGCTTAAGAGAATTGTGGGACAACTGGAAATGTAATTACATTCGCATCATAGGAGTCTCCAAAGAGGAAGAAAATGGGCAAGGGTTAGAGAATATATTTGAAGAAATGGTGACAGAAAATTTTCCTAACTTGATGAAGGAAGAAGGCATTCAAGTTCAAGAAGCACAGGGAGCCTCAAGTAAGAACCCAAACAGACTCACACCAAGACACATAGTAATTAAAATGCCAAAAATTAAAGACAAACAGAGAATCCTAAAGGCAGCAAGAGATAAGCAACAGGTTACCTACAAAGGAAACCCCATAAGGCTCTCAGCTGACTTCTCAACAGAAACACTACAGGCCAGGAGGAAGTGGCACGAAGTAATCAAAGTCATGAAAACCAAGGTTCTCAATCCAAGACTACTCTATTCAGCAAGGCAATCATTCAAAATAGAAGGTCAAATAAAGAGCTTTTCAGACAAAAATAGGCTGAGGGAATATATTAACACCAAACCAGCACTGAAAAATATGCTGCAAGGGCTGCTGTAATTAGTGAAAGAAAGAGAAAGAAAAATAGAACCACACTAAACAAAACTGGCAATAAAGAAGTACATATCAATTATCACCTTAAATGTGAATAGTTTGAATGCTCTGATAAAAAGACACAGAGTAGCTGACTGGATAAGAAAGCATGACTCACATATATGTAGTTTACAGGAGACCCATCTCACAACAAAAGACTCACATAGGTTGAATGTGAAGGGATAGAAATAAATCTTCCAAGCAAATGAAAAGAAAAAAAAAAAAAAAAGCTGGGGTAGCAATACTTACATCTAATAAAGTAGATTTCAAAATGAAGGCCATAACTAGAGACAAAGAAGGCCACTACATAATATTGAAAGGATCTATCCAACAGGAAGATATAACCTTGGTAAACATATATGCACCCAATTTAGGAGCACCACCATATATTAAAACTCTTTTGGAGGACTTCAAAAAAGAAATCAACAGCAATAAAATCATAGCAGGGGACTTCAACACCCCGCTGACATTACTGGATAGATCTTCAGACAAAAAATGAACAAGGAAACACAGACTCTAAATTAGGCACTAGACCAAATGGATTTAATAGATATCTACAGATAATTACACCCCAAAACTGCAGAATTTACATTTTTCTCAACTGCACATGGGACATTCTCAAAGATAGACCACATGTTAGGGCACAAACTAAGTCGCTACAAGTTCAAGAAGACTGAAATCATATCAAGAATCTTCTCAGATCACAATGGCATGAAACTAGAAATCAATTGCAACAAGAACATGCAAAGACATTTGAACACATGGAGGCTAAATAGCATGTGATTGAACAATGAATGGGTTACCATGGAGATCAAGGAAGAAATTAAAAACTTCCTGGAAACCAATGAAAATGAACACAACAAACAACAACACAAA